GTCCTCGCCCTTCATCATGGGCCTCAGCGGGTGCGTTGCTCCGGAATCCACCAGTCCGCGCATCCCACCAATCTCCATCTTCGACAACCTTACCTGTCGAACCCGCATCTTTTCTCGCATGCCGTCCAGCTGCTTCTGCAGGTCCATCAGCTTCTTCTCGTCGTCCTCCGGTCCAGTCTTGCCGGTCTTGACGTTGATGCTCCTGAGCATTTTGGTCGCCTCCTGGAGCACGTCCTTCATCGCGTCCGTCTCTTTGTCGCCCGATGCCGAACTCGCCGCTCCCGGTGAATCCTCTTGCATCGCTGCCGACGTAGTCGCCCTTGGAGTCGCAACCTTCTGGCTCTCCACAGCGACTTCCTTCTTGGCTTCCTCCTCCGCGTTGACCTTCGCCGCCTTGGGCTTTCGGTCCACGTTGCTCTTGATCGCCACGGGGCAGTCCTTTCGCATGTGCTCGCTCGCCCCGCACGACCAGCATCTCATGCGTTCATCTTTCTGGTCATGGCTCCAACGGCAGCCACGTCCTCTCCTGCAGCCCTTTTCGGTAAGGAAAAACTTGCAGGGTTTCCCACCTTCTCCAGCGTTCTTCACCTCATTCTTGGAGTCCACAGCCTCTGCCTACTTGATACGGGTGTCCGTGGCCTGCGCCTTCCCCGCTGGGGCCTTGACCTCCTTCTCCAAGTGGGCGATCGCTTCCACCTCCGACAAAACGTGCTCCGCGTACTTCTCCACTGCCTCGTGAGAGGGGATGGAGTCCAGCTGGAGCGAATTCCTCGCCAGAGCCATCTTAAACGAGAGCTCCGGCTGCATCTCCACCACCCATCTTGCTGAGGGAGCGGGCCAGTACCGTGGGGTCCGGAATGGTCACCCCAAGTTCCTGTGCCCTCTGCTTCCACCTCATCCATTTCCTCAACCCAACCACCAGCGATGCCAGGGAGTCCACTTCAGGGGGACTTTCCAAGTTCTTCAGGATGACCGATTTCTCCACCAGTCCTCCCGGCTGGTAGCTCGCCATGAGCTTGCATAGAATCGCATAGCAAGTCATGGACTTCGTTGCCACCATCTCTTCACGAGCTCCGTCAGGGAGAGCGCGAAGAAGTAGTCCCACAGCCCGCCTCTCCAACCTCCGCCATTTCGGTTCTTGGAGCTCCGGAGGGTCCTTCGGCTGCAGCTTGAGTCTTTCCAGCGGCGGCGTAGTCTGATACCTTCCGTACCACATCCTCGCCGATTCCACCACTTTCTGCCACCATTGCTGTGACGATTCACTGAGGTCCGCCATGATCGGCTCCAGGACGCAAATCCAGTCTCCCAGGTCGATGGGAGCACTCTCCGGCTTGTACTCCACAAGCTTCGGCAAATCCGTTGTGACATTCTTCACCGTCTCGCTCGTGTCATCGCCGTGGTCCACCTTCTTCTTGGTGTCCAACATCTGCTGCTGCATGTTCTGCATGCCCTGCACGATCTTCAGCATGATGTCCAGGGACTTGTCCTTCGGGCCCGTCGGCTCGTCCTCACGTAGCTCCGAGGATTCTTCCTCAGGATCAGCAGGTTCACCTCGAGTTCCACGGCCTTCAGGGGTTCCATGTTCCTCAGGGGTGGCAAACCTGTCACTCTGATCACCTCCTCGAGTAGCCTCCACCTCCGGCGGTTTCCAGTTCTGCTGCATGTCCTGAACTTGGCTGAGACATTGCCCCACCTCCTGATGTAGCCTCCGATTATCCGCCAGGATCTGTGCCATGTAGTAGCGCATCTCCTGCATCGGATCTGGCCATTGAGCATGCCGTCCTGGTTCAGGTAGTCCCGGCTGTTGCAGCGTTCCTTGATCTTGCCATTGAGCAAGCCGTGAGCCTTCAAGATGTCCCCCAGGTCCAAGAAGTACCAACTGCGGCCCCAGTTCTTGCCGTTGAGCAGGCCGTGGGCCTTCAGCATCTCCCGCTGGTCCTGGTAGAGCAAGATGTTGTGCTGCCAGCGCCAGCTGCCTTTCCACCTGCATGCCCTCATTGGACCGCTGGATGTAGCCCTCAAAACCTCCATGACCTGTTGCAGCTCCCGTTGCGTGAATGAGCGGAGCTTCGGCTGTCCACTCATCCAACCTTCTCATCTGCTCCGGAGTGAACAGCTCGTTCTCTGCCGGCCCAGGCTGAATCGACGATGGCTCCCCCTGCGGCCCTCCAGGCCATTGGGTCGAAGCTGCCGCCTCAATCAACCCATCCGGCCTGGCTATCAGGGCAGGTTCCTCCACCTCCTCCACCACTGGGCCGACTCGGCCTCCGGTTCCCTTTCCGTTGTTCTCCAGGGTGGTCCTTCTCCGGGTCCTCCCTGAGTCAGCGCCATCCATGGCGCCAGTGTCACACCGCGTGACTTGGGCTCATAACCTGTGAATCTGGCTATCAGTCCGGCGCACTTTTGTCTGTGCGCTTCGAGTACAAAGCGGCTTCCGGATCCGCTCCTAATCTCAAACCTCAAGCAAGGGGCCTCATGTGGCTACCCTCAAACTGTTTTGGAAAACCTGCACCTAGAACCATTCTGACGGGGCCAGAATGGCCCTACAACTTGGGTTTGGGGTTTGAGGATGGTCTTTGACCTGAAGTATTTCGACGCCTCGCCAAATGAGCAGTCACATCACCAAACTTAAAAAAAAAAAAAAAAAAAAAAAAAAAAAACATGACATGGGCAAATTCTGTGGTGTTTTGTTTGTGTGTGTGTGGGAAGTTGAGTGAATCACCCTTTGTCCCACCCAAATTGTCCAAAGATACTGGATATGGGGGTTTGTCAAAAATATGGCCCCTTGTTGGAAGCTGGTGCCGCCTCGTGCCGTTGAAGGCGCTGCCAGAAAAGCCTTTTTGTTTAGACCCATGTTGACCGCCACATCACATCCAACTCCGAAAGATGAGTTCCCTTTAGCTGTGAACCAAACCCAAAGGGGAGGTTTTGCGGATGGACGAAATCCATTTCGCACCAGTTGGGAAGGATGAAACATGAGAAACCCCCGTGAATTGTGGGATAAACATGTGTAAGCCACTTGCTAAGTGGTGCAGGATGTTGTCCATCCACATCATCAAAATGTATGATTGCTGATGACTTCTTTGTCAGTGAAGGGCCTCAAAATCTCAGGCAGTCCCCGAGTGCACGCTACAGGGTACAGTAAAGACACGAGTGGAATTGGCCACCTGAAGGAGGGCCGAGTTTTTGAGAAACACACACACACACGCCTGTCACACCGGGATGGTACAACCTTCAAACACGTGGCAGTATCCCATTTACGGGGAAACACGTGGGCTTCCCCTCCAGACAAGAAAAACGCCCGGGCGCTGAACCCCAGGTTAAAAACTTGTTGCGTCCGCTTCCGAAATTCTAACAAACGCGGTACACGTCAAAGCAAAGAGCTACTCACAGCTATCTATTCCCCCTGGGTGTGCAGCTGGGTGCGTCTTGTTTCAAAGTGACCCCAACAAAAAGCCGAGTTGGCCTTTTGGTTTCCCTTTAAAACCACCTAAAAAATGGGATACCCCCAAACAATGACAGACCCAGGTGTTGTGAGCAGCGCACTCAGCAAATGAAAAGCAGATTCGGATGGCTAACGCATTTCTGTAAAATGCACTTCTCATATAGGCACATGCGAGGTATATACGAGGAGCGCCTGGTACTCCCCCAACACCCACAACCCCCTCAACAAAACAATATGTTTGGCCTCATTCGGACTCATGTTGCCTTCTTTCCCCTTGAGGCTTAAGCCTGAGGAATGTTGAGAAAAGGCGTTTTGGAGCTTGCGCGAGTTGCCTCTGCACTGGGGTGCCTTTGGTTGTCCCTTCGCACTTGCGCCTGATACATCTTGGCAAAGCCCTGGTGTCTGGACACAAAAGAAACATGGGTTTATGTCTAAATGAGAAGAGGGTCGGGGCTCATGTTGGTTTCCCTGTTCAGACCATTCCCTTGCCGATGTGGCCACAAGATCCCTATGATTTTCTGCAGACGATGATTTGACACATGAGCGGCGGACAAATTGACTGTCGCAAGAGGACGGGGTGAAATTGGCTAGTCCCCAAAATCAAACATCGACTTCCGTGACATCATTCAGCTTCCCATCTTCGACCCAAAAGTGGACCGCCCTTTTTCAGGAGCCACCCAAAGGGCCAGCCGCGGAGCCAAGGTAACCTTACATATTTCGACCAACTTCGGGTTTGGTAAAATGCACCCGGCCCCTTCCATGTCTAGTTGCATATGCCAAATCTTGTGGGGCAGGATCACCTAAAGTGGATGTGTCTCAACATGAGACCCAAATATGGTTTGCTTTGGGCTTCCATTTAATACCAACAACCAAGAGGGGGGTTGCAAACTTAGTTTGCTGTTGACCCCATCTGCAAAACGTTTGTCGCTTTTTGTGGGTCCAACGTGGAAAATCCGACCTGTTCCAGCCAAAAAGTCAAAGTTGAAAGATCCGTTACCAAATATAGCCATAAAGCTTAGACAACTTCCCTCCCTTCGATTCTTGAGTTCAAAAACTTAAGATAGTGGGATGGCCGGTTTCATGCAAAGCTTGTCAAAAGCTTGTCAACAAACAACAGGGTGGTTCCTTCCATGCAAAGCTTCTCCAAAGCTGGGTCTTGCACGGTTCCGCTACCTCTTACGGTTCCTTGGGGAAGCTACCTACATGGCTCCGGGGTTCCAAACAGAAAACGAGATCCAACCAAATGGGTATGGGGTGAAAAATTGGCGACCACCAGGAAAAGATTTGACCACCAGGACCCCCCAATGGCTGGCAAACCACCCCAAAACAGCCATTGGGAGGTCATTCCACTGTTTTTTTTGCCAGCCATTGTCCTGGCAAAGGCAGGCATCTTTCTTTCTTAGGTTGGTTGACCACCCACCCGGAAAAAAATGGACCACATTGGCAGGCTTCTTTTGCTGCTTCAGTCTCCCCCACGGCCGCGCAACGGCTTCGGTTCGGGTCGACCAAAACCTCCGCCGCCCGCCGCCCGCCGAATCCGCGGAATCGAAGTCGCCTCCTGGCTGATGGACTGATTGCGGGTGGCCAGCACGGCCAGCAGGTCCAGCACCTCCGCGTCCCGCGCCTGGCGGCGAAGGAAAACCCCAGGGGAAACCCGAGGAAACCAAAGGACCACCAGAGGAACCCCCCAAGAGAAACCAGACCAAAACCCACGGAAAACCGGAGGAAGCCAAAGGGAAAGCCGGCCAAAAAAACCAAACAAAGCAAACCTACCCAGGCCAAAAAGACCAAACAAAAAGCAAACCTCAGATGCCGAGTGGACTGTGCTGGGACAAAAATTGGCGTCGATTGTGTTGGTTGAGTTTAAAGAGGAATCCTTCCCAAAAGAAAGGGGAGAAGATGGGCGCCACTGGGCAACTGGGAAAAGGACACCACACGGAAAGCTGCTAAAGAAGCCAACCATGAATCTTGGATGCTACCCTTTTTGTCCAACCGTAGAAGTTGACTGGGGATTCTCCAAATGGATCTATACTCCAGCTTCCGTTGACACAAGGGATCCCGGGTATAAATAGACTTGAAGCAAGCCCATAGAATTTCTGCTGCTAATATTTGAACGTCCGAGCACAAGTCCGGGTTAAAAGAACACAGAATTTCCTACAGACATGGCAAACGCTTCACGTTTTGGCGGGAAACACGCCTACAAACCCCAAAGTCTAAGCCTAAAAGGCCGCAACCTACAACCTGAATCGACGAAAACCAAAAAAGACACAGACACGCACACGCACACGCACACGCACACGCACGCGCACGCACACGCACACGCACACGCACACGCACACGCACACGCACACGCACACGCACACGCACACGCACACGCACACGCACACGCACACGCACACGCTCACGCACACGCACACGCACACGCACACGCACACGCACACGCACACGCACACGCACACGCACACGCACACGCACACGCACACGCACACGCACACGCACGCGCACGCGCACGCGCACGCGCACGCGCACGCACACGCACACCCACACACACACACACACACACACACACACACACACACACACACACACACACACACACACCAACCAAAAAAAAAGGCACTTCAACCTGGAAGGCCTCAAGCCTCAAACATCACCACCACCTTCCTTAACCCCCCCTCCCATCCCCCCACCCACCGCTAAAAAAAAAACTCCCCCCAAGCCTGGGGGATGTTGCTGCGGTAGTCCGCCAGCACCGGCTCCAGCAGCGGCGGCACGAAGCGCTGCGCGATCTGATCGGGCGCCAGACCCACCTGTCGGATGGATGCAAAGCTAGGGCCTCCGGTAGAGAGCTTAGAATAATCTTAAGTTGGTACCCCCCCTCCAACTAACATGGCAACTGACAGTGGTTCCCTTCAGAAGGAAATGAATCTTCCAAGTACCTCCCTACAGATGCCATGTTAGTTGGAAGGGGGTAATTACCCGATCTTTTTTCTGTAGTCTACTTTAGCAGAGGAACCCTCCCCCAAAAAAGGGGTGAGAAAGGGCACTATTAGGGGACCTGGAAAGGGAGGTTTCTGTGGCAGTGGTGGTCAAAAATAGAATTCGCAACCCCAAAATGAATGTGGCCCGATCGGTAAATGGAAACATGGACGAACACTTGCGGTCCATCTCCTGGTGGTTTAATTTTGACCCATGCTCATGATATAAATTCACACTACTTAGGATTCGTTGACAACTATGAAATATGTTTTAGGACTCAATTATAACCTAAATATTCCATTACCAGTCCGTTTCCCTTCAAATCATAGGTCGTGGGCCTCAAACAGTTACAGACAAATCTACAACGCTTGGTATGGTAGCAAAAACAGAACAAAAAACGTGCCAAGAACAGTGACAAAAATAGGGCAATGTTGACCCGGATTAATAAACCCGTCCCATTCACAGGGGCGTTCCCGGCAAAAGTGAGGAACCACCAAAAAGGGACACTCCTGCGACTGTTGCGAACGCTGTCCAAAGATGTCAAAGGCAAGTTCCATTTCAGCGCGCCGCTCCGAGCCGAGCAAAGACCTTGTGCGACGATTCTATGTTTGAACCCAAACTACGCCGCGCGTGTGTTGCTTGCAACGGACTCTCGGCTCTCACGCTTTGGGGTTTCTAAGTTTAAAAAGATCCATAACCTCGGCAACCCTGCCGCAGGTGCTTCAAATGCTGACGACGGAACCAACCCTCACCGATGGCTGAAATCCGCGAACTTGCGAAGTCTGCGACGCGCGAGCGGTAGCTTTGCTCAAGCTCGCTGGAATTGGTTTCTGGGACGGTGAGCAACTCAAGGCGGTGAAGCAAAAAATACGCGTGGGCGGCGGCGCCGGGACCCAACAAAAGAAGCGAAAGGGAAGCTTCAAAAACATCCTCAGCCGCTGCGAATTCAAATGTTTTCCTAGGGTTCTACCTCCCAAGGCTCAACCTTGAGGTTGGCAAACGACAAAACAAACTTCTGGACATTGGGATGCATTTTCCCATGTAACTGTATGTCTGGGTTCTTGATTTCAGAGAGATCTAACCAATACGTTGCGCTTTGACCTGAAAGGCTACTTGGTTGTACCAGCACTTCGTCACTCCGAGGTTTCCCTCTTGGTATCACCGAGATCGACGCTGCAACCCAGTTTCCCACAGCTGTTTCCCACTGGTTTGTCAAAGACAAACCGGACTCGGGATCCGGGAGCGGAAATTTTCAGCGCGCCTCTGCGGTCGCCTGAGGAGTGCAAGCGTCGAGAAAGGACCTCACCAGGCGCAGCGCGTCTCGCTTCACGTTCCGCAGCAGCCGCACGTTGGCCTGGTTCATGACCTGCCACTGGGTTTGCCAAACCAAAACGCCGCATGAGCCATGCATTCCGGGCCCCTTTCTGCCTGAAGAGATATGGGCGTGGGTCAAAAATAGCTACCCAAAATGGCAGCCTGGCAAATGGAAACTTGGACTAAAACCCCGCGGTTTTGGGCGGTTTAATTTTGACCCATAGCCATATGCTAGGAACGGCTTTAACGCCCTCCAAAAGCATCCTCAAAGTACCGAGGGACCGGAATCCTTTGTTGTGTCTTTCTTTGGGGGACATGTAAATACTTCCTCTGGGGTTACTTTCAAAATGATCCCACCCCCCCTTGTTAGGGGCAGGTACTGTTTTGGAGCACCGTTTGTGCGGGTTTTGGGAGAAACATGGCAAACCACAAGGAATTCGAGCCCCTTTTTGGAGGGTAGCCAGCCCTGTGCAAAGCAGCCTGAGCAAAGGTGGATTGATGAGCTTCAAAGCTCATCCATGGGCAGTGTAAAGGGAAAACAATCGGAGGTTATTGAAACAATGGTTGAACAAAACTCCGGTGGCATTGGGGGGGGACTGTTGGAAACGAGTGGATTCTTCGTGGGTCCCGAATCCACGCAAAACGAAGTTTCGAGGGTGGAATCGCGTGGGTTCATTTCTCAGATGCCCAGTGGCCATGGGAAGAAAAGGCCTTCTGTTCTGGCGAGTTGAAAGGGGAACTCCTCCCCAAAAAAGGAAAAAGGGCGGAATCCACTGGGCAGGGAATTTCGTAAGTTGTGGCTAAGACATCCCGAGAACCTCCAATGGGAGAACCCCTGCCTGAACCCCCTGCTGCGCCGTGCTGTGCGAGATAAAGTCGCTGCAGACCTTGTAGATCTTCAGCATATCCTAACGTGTTCGGCTTGAAGAAAGCACACTTGACATCAGAAGCTGCAGTACAGAAAAATTCCTTCGGCTTAAACATGTTTTTCGACTTCGCCCCTAATTACTGGTTTTGCTTGGAATCTATCACCACTGGACATACTTTTTATTTTTGCTAGGGGACTTCAGCAAATGGAGGCCTATGGATCGAGAATACTTCCCACAACACCGAATACGCCCGCCTGCAACGTCACAAGTGTGCAGTTTATGTTGCTGCTTTTTTAGAGATTTGTGGAGCGAGGACGTTTTGCTGAAAGAAGAGGGTGCTTACACCAATCTGGCCTCAGCCCTCGCTTGCCGAGGCTCGTGCCTCCGTGCTTGACATTGCTTGTGGCTTCCTTGTTGGATTGCGTGCATGCTTCCGAGTACAAAGATTGGCAGAGCACTTCTGTAGATGCTTGGACAATCTCGCTTTGCAAACTGGCGTTGGCTGACATTCGTGCCAGTTTTCTCTTTCCAAATTGCCCCCCTCAAACTGGCAGTGCTGGGCTTCAAGGCAGCAGATCCAAATTAAAGTTCCTCACGTCCAGGCTTCAGGCAGCAGGCAGACAGGCCAGGACATGTGTCAGTGTGGCATTGCGCTGCGAACACTCTTCTTTGAAAACCAAACCGCTGTTGAAGAACAATGCCAAAATGTTTGTGCATTTTCTCTCCAAGGCGTTTTGTTCTGCATACGTGGCTGGTCCAGGCAACGGCAAATGCCGGAACCCTTCCGGAACTTGGAACCACCGACACTTGCTGGTGCGAGAGATGCAGAGAATGAGAAATGGAGTGACCCCTATGAACAATCCAACTCGTAGCTTCCCTTGGGGGAATCCCCAAACAGTTCATTCCCCAACACCCGGAAGGTGATTCCATGTCATTCCCTCTCTACTTCCATTTGCCAAAAAGAAGAAAAGAAGCAAGGGCGCCGCTTCTTCCACTGGGCAGCTGGCTTTTCCGCACTTACAGATACTTACAAAGCAGAGCTTGACCTTTGATAAGCACCTTTACCAAAAATCCGGACCCAAATGACAAAAAACCCAAAGGTCCAAAGCCTCGAATTGGGCCGAGCTTGGCGGGCAGTGATGTGGAACTGGGGCAGGATATCGGAAGCCCACCAAAAACAACATGAAACCTGCACAGGGGTTTCCTGAAAAGGAACATCTTCCAGGAAGCCCTGTGCCTGGTTGACGTTGGAAGGGGAGCAAAAATTCAAATTTTAGCAGTTAAATGGCTGGATTTCAACCACTAAACCACAATCAGCGAACAGAATGTAAAAATTGTTTCCCAACCACAACTATGCAAATGGCTTCTCACGAGGTTTCCTGGTCCAAACTGCTTCAGCCTGCTTTTGGCATATGGCCATTGGTCAAAATCCCGTACCCCCAGTGAACATCAACCAATCCAACCACTAAAATAGGTGCCCTAGAATAATTCTGGTTCTATCTAAAATAGGTTCCAACCACTAAAATAGGTTCCAACCACTAAAATAGGTTCCAACCACTAAAATAGGTTCCAACCACTAAGATATGTTCCAACCACTAAAATAGGTTCCAACCACTAAAATAGGTTCCAACCACTAAAATAGGTTCCAACCACTAAGATATGTTCCAACCACTAAAATAGGTTCCAACCACTAAGATATGTTCCAACCACTAAAATAGGTTCCAACCACTAAGATATGTTCCAACCACTTCCAAAATAGGTTCCCAACCAACCACTAATATAAGTTCCAACCACTAAAATAGGTTCCAACCACTAAAATAGGTTCCAACCACTAAGATATGTTCCAACCACTAAAATAGGTTCCAACCACTAAGATAAGTTCCAACCACTATGTTCCAACCACTACCAGGTTCCAACCACTAAGATATGTTCCAACCACTAAAATAGGTTCCAACCACTAAGAATATAGTTCTAAAATAGGTTCCAACCACTAATATATGTTCCAACCACTAAAATAGGTTCCAACCACTAAAATAGGTTCCAACCACTAAAATAGGTTCCAAGCACTAAACTAGGTTCCAACCACTAAAACCAGGTTCCAACCACTAAAATAGGTTCCAACCACTAAGATAGGTTCCAACCACTAAAATAGGTTCCAACCACTAAAATAGGTTCCAACCACTAAAATAGGTTCCAACCACTAAACTAGGTTCCAACCACTAAAAAAGGTTCCAACCACTAAAATAGGTTCCAACCACTAAAATAGGTTCCAACCACTAAGATATACCACTAAGATATGTTCCAACCACTAAAATAGGTTCCAACCACTAAAATAGGTTCCAACCACTAAGATATGTTCCAACCACTAAAATAGGTTCCAACCACTAAGGTATGTTCCAACCACTAAAATTATTCCAACCACTAAAATAGGTTCCAACCACTAAAAATAGGTTCCAACCCACTAAAATAGTTCCAACCATAGATGGTTCCAACCACTAAAATAGGTTCCAACCACTAAGATATGGGTTCCAACCACTAAGATAGTTCCAACCACTAAAATAGGTTCAACCACTAAAATATGTTCCAACCACAAATAGTTTCCAACCACTAAATAGGTTCAACCACTAGTTCCAACATAAGATATGTTCCACCACTAAAATAGGTTCAACCACTAAGATATGTTCCAACCACTAAATTTTCCAGGGTTCCAAACCACTCCAACCACTAAAATAGGGTTCCAACCACTAAAATAGGTTCCAACCACTAAAATATGGGTTCCAACCACTAAAATAGGTTCCAACCACTAAAATAGGTTCCAACCACTAAAATAGGTTCCAACCACTAAAATAGGTTCCAACCACTAAAATAGGTTCCAACCACTAAAATAGGTTCCAACCACTAAAATAGGTTCCAACCACTAAAATAGGTTCCAACCACTAAAATAGGTTTCCAACCACTAAAATAGGTTCCAGGTTCCAACCACTAAAATAGGTTCCAACCACTAAAATAGGTTCCAACCACTAAAATAGGTTCCAACCACTAAAATAGGTTCCAACCACTAAAATAGGTTCCAACCAAATAGGTTCCAACCACTAAAATAGGTTCCAACCACTAAAATAGGTTCCAACCACTAAAATAGGTTCCAACCACTAAAATAGGTTCCAACCACTAAAATAGGTTCCAACCACTAAAATAGGTTCCAACCACTAAAATAGGTTCCAACCACTAAAATAGGTTCCAACCACTAAAATAGGTTCCAACCACTAAAATAGGTTCCAACCACTAAAATAGGTTCCAACCACTAAAATAGGTTCCAACCACTAAAATAGGTTCCAACCACTAAAATAGGTCCCAACCACTAAAATAGGTTCCAACCACTAAAAAATGTCCCAACCACTAAAATCGGTTCTGCCAACCTGCGTGTGCAGCCATCCTTTCCGACCGAGCGTCGCAGTACATGGCGGCGAGCTGGTCGTGGCAGGACATGCCCAGGGCCACCACCATGCGCTCGTTGACCCGCAGGATGAGGGACACGTCCCGCAGCACCTGGTGGTTCTGCACGAAGACCTGGCGACGCCGATTGAGAGATGCGCACAAAAATGTGTATATATATATATATATACATATGTGTATGTATGAAGATATACATATATATGAATATGAATATATATATATATATATGTATGAATATATATATATATGAATATATATATATATGTATGAATACATTGAATATACATGGCATCACCTTGGGGAGCCTCAAAATCCTTTGAATACGATACACCTGTATTGTACTTATCTTAAAGCAAAAACCACATATTATATGCCAGGACCCCCCAATGGCTGGCAACCAACATCTGTGGAATGACCTCCCGATGGCTGTTTTGGGGTTATTTGCCAGCCATGGGAGGGTCCTGGTTTCTATAATATATACATATATATATATATTATTTATGAATGTATCACAGTGTATATAAAGGGCATTATGTTGGGGGCTCCAAACTCCTTTGAATCAGATACACCTGTATTGTACTTGTTGTAGACCCAAATAGTTTTAAAGCAAACACAACATGTAATATATATAAATTACACACTTGAGCAGTTCGAAACGGGTTGCGGCGATTCAACCAGTTGCATATTCAAGCATTGTTCAACTTACTTGACCAGGGCCTGGTTGTTCAACAAAAAAACACCCGCCAAGATCCGATTCATCGCCTTCCATCATTGGTGCCAAACTAAAGCTGGTCGGCAGTGTTGTTTTTCAGAGGGAGACCTCCGATCAGGTATTGCCATGGAAGCGAATGCAAAAAAAAGAGATCCTTGTGAACCCTCTGAAGGGAAGCCTTCCAACCCCTGGCTTCCAGTATGGGCTGGCCTTTTTTTGGCATTGTTTGATCTTTTTTGCCTCCTCCACAAAAAAAAAGGAACATGCTTCCCATGAAGTTTTATGGATTCCCTTTCAAACCAAGAGGGGAAGAACGAACAAAAAGAAGACACACAGACACACAGACACACACCTCTTCGTTCCCGCCAATGGAACTCGCAAAGTCCGAGTCGTCTGCGGTCTCCCGGTCTCGCCTCTAAGGCACCCGCTGCGGAGAGTCCCCGCAAGATGCCGGCCCACTGGTCGTTGAAGAGGCCCAGGATCTGAGCCAGCAGCCGGCCCCGCTGGTCCAAAGGCGAGGCGCTGATCATGTGCCCCACCGCCTCAAAAAGCTGCGAAACCGCACGGAAAGGACCCACGACCAGTGCTTCAGCCAGAAGGAAGCGCAGGGTATCCCCAAAGGGAAAACCCTCGCTGGTCCCATTGGGTGTGCCAAAGACGTAGGTGCCCGCTAAATTTGCAGCCTCCCTCCAATTGGTGGTTTGGAGCCTGGTGGGTTTGGTGCACCAATCCAAACCACCAACTAAGGGGTACCTGAGTCTGTCTTGCAAACTCAAACCAGAAACAAGAAAACAAGTGCCCCAGAGGATGATTGTAACATAGACCCCAGTCCGCACATTGCGGAAAGGGGTGCATAGTGTAGGACAGCCCGTGCATTGATTTTATGCCAAATATGCAAGAAATCCGAAACCACGGGGCCTTCAATAGGAAGACCGAGATCATTCTGCCCCCCGGTCGGTGAACTCAAACGAAGTCTACAATTTGTTCCCGAAGCAAAAGCACCAAGCACAAACCATACGGCCTCTCTGCTTCTCTACAGTATTGATCTTCTTTTGCAAACTTCGTGTTTCAAGTTCGGATTCATCCAGACCATCGTTGGCCCCCCCATGACCGCTGCCTCAAAGTAGGTGCAAATTTGCAGGTGCTCCAGCTCTGAGATGTCCTGCGAATTCCAACATAGTCCCCAGACCGGTGACCCGGAGAAACAGACATGCGACCCTGTTGAGACCATGTTCCGGTCCGAATTCCAAACCCCAAAAATGCTGCATGTTCAGCTTGCCAAACTGGGACTTCTGTTCGATGAAAGGCACTGACCTCTAAACGGGCGAACAGAAACCAATTGAATTTTACAGTGGAGTTTGGGGTACTTGTATGGCGCTGTGGGTCAAAAATAGGTACCCAAAATGGAGCCCTGGTAAATGGAAAAGCGGACTAAAATTGGCGGTCCCCTTGCGGTTTAATCTTGACCCACATCCGTATATTTTCATACATTTATATTATATTATATATATATATATAAGAAAATCCGCTGGCGACCACCGAGTGCAAAGAGTTCCTGACGATTCCCGCGGGCTTGAAAAGAACATGCTTGATGGCCTCTGGTGGCTTGCCTATTCAGCGGAAAATGCTTACAATGATGCTTGTAGCGCCATCCTGGAAGCTTTTTTGGCAGATTTGTGTACGAAACAGAACCAGAGCAAAAACAACAGACGCGGCTTGTGATCGGTTGGTCTCCTCTGCACTCCCTCCCACCAACCAAGCCTGGAAGACAATCTGCCTCTTTCAAAGAGAGCCATTGCACTTCCGTGTTTGCCAGTCGGTCCTTCAAAGCCAACAGCCTCAAGTTGCTGGCGCTCAGCGAACATTCCGGTTTATGGAAGCGAAGCACCTATAAGGGTGCCCCCTTAAAGGAAAAACCAGAGGTTCCAACTCATTCCCTGCCGATCGAACCAGCAAGTCAAAAGACCAACCCCCCCCCACCTATAAGGGATTCCCTGAAACCATGTTTTCGTCTTCTTTTTTTCTTTTTCGTGGGTTCCAACTCATTCCCTGCCGATCGCTCCCTCCCCCCCAGCACCCCAATTTCTTCCTGCGCGATGTGGCTGGGCATGGTCTCGACGAAGGGCGCGGGCTCCGAGCTCTGCTGCACCACGAACTTCTTCTTGCACTTCTGGCAAATCCTCCGGCTTTATCATCGGGGGGGCGGCTGGGAGACATCCAGACCTTAAGGAAGCTATTGGGGGCTTAAGAAGGGTTTGGGCCGGGCTAAGGGGGGAGAACAAGACCGCAAGGCCTTTTGGGACCTCAAGAAGGGTTTATTTGGCAAAGTCCCCCCCCTTTCCCAGCCCCCATGAAATGTTGGTCCCATGTTTAGAATCTTAGCTAGAATATTGTTAAGCATATGTGAGCGATATCTACAATGTTCCCAACACATGTTCTCATGAAGCATTTGTATTGACAGCTTTGTTGCCAGTTCCTAATTGCTGTTCGATTCCACAAGGAAACTCAAACAAGGATCCTCGGCCAGAACCGCGACTGTCTCTTGGTTGACGTTGGAAGGGGAGCAAAAAAATAAATTTTAGCAGTTAAGTGGGGATTTCCCACTAAACCACAATAAGCAAAAATGTAAAATGCTTCCCAACAACAACCATGGTCTTGGTTCCACTCGGAAACTCACAGAAGGATCGATCCGGCTCATTGGGTATTCCCCCTCAAAGGCCTTTCTTTCACCTAACGATCGACACAGGGCCAGTTCATCGCTGAAATCAAACTGCGACCATTGACGAGGCCGTTTGCCAACGGCATATCTTTTATCAAAGGAAGGCCTTTACCCTGTGGTTACTGCTATGTCCCTTTTGAACACTCCTGAAGGAAAGTCACGCAAATGCCAAATGGTGATGCTTAAAAGTGCCCCACAACAGACAAGGGAAAGAATTTCATCTTCCGGGATACCCGCAAAATAATTGGCACATATAGGGGGTATGAAGTAAAATGATATATATATATATATATATATCATCTTACTTCTTCCCCCATGGGGTGCCACATAGGTTCTCACCAGGTCAACTCCACCTGCCTGAGGAAGGTATCCACCGCCATCTGCTGAACCCCCGGGAAGGTCTCATGCATGAATTCGAAGAGCTTGAAGAGCACAGTCTTCCTTGCAAAGGCTTGGGTTACGGGAAAAACATATGCCGGAAAGCCGCTGATCTGCGGTGTTTTGGGTGGCCATTTGTAGATGCTCCTGTAAAAAATCACAGCCTTTCATCCTTGCACCTTCAACTGTGAGCTGAGAGATGCCATGCTAGCAGTTCGCTTTCTGAGTTTGACCGTTGGTGCTTGTTCAAGAAAAACCGGAAGAAGTAAGGGATCAACATTTAATACTTTCGGGTAAACACGAGAGGGGTAGAGGAGAGGTGGATCGTATATCAAAATGCCAGGAATTGTTCTGGGGTATGAAATGTTGACCCCCTACTTCTTCCGGTTTGAGACCAAGCCGCAACGGTCAAACTCAAATCAAACCGCTAGCAGCATGGCGGGTATGGGCGTATTCCATATTCCAACTGAGAACAAGCTCCTTCTGTTTCCAAGATCCTCCTGGTTCCTGACTGTGGCGGCGAACCGTCAGAAACGCTATTCAACTACTGAATGTGATCATCACACGCCTGGTTGGAGCGAAACTTCCCATATTCCCGAATGGAAAGCAAGAATAAGTCCCATCGAACTCATGTGGGCATGTCCGCAAATAGGGCAGCCCCAAAGAACATATTCCCTTGAAACAACCACCAAAACCTAGCAGCTAGAAAAGGGTACCTAGCCCCAAAGAACAATTTTACCTCCCTATGGGTACTGTGCGTGTCAAAATAGGACCCCGGAACTTGTGGCTTCCGTTTGAACCCCAAGCTTGGACAAATGGGTCTGTTGTTTGGAAAATGATGGTTGTCCTTTGGTTTCCTTTCGCACCACCAGCTACAATGAGACCCTCAAAAAAACAGGCCCCAAATCGGCTCTCTCCAAAAAAGACACACAAAAAGTGCACACCAATTAGTCGTCACGTCTCTCCAAGAAAAACACACATTGACGTGCACACCATTTGCCGCCTCAGCGTCAGAAACTTCCAATGGGCCCGCAGGAAGCGGGGGTATTGGCCCACCACGTACATGATGTTGCTGGCCACGGCCGCCTTGTTCTCCTCCGTTTCAGCCATCGTTAGCAAACATCCCAAGATTGGTCGGAGGGGCATCGATCGGTGATGTCGTTGCCGGGGGTCCCTGAAAGGTCGTCGACCCCCAGAAAAAAAATGACGAGACCCTCGGATTAATATCTGCACGCACAGCCCAATGAATCCAGGAATTGGTAATATCCTGGGTTCCCATTCATGCCTTAAGCCATGTTGGAGGCCAAAGCCTTCTCTCTGTGGAGAACTCTCCCTGGGCTGGCGCGTTGTCGGCAACTCTTCCTGAAAAACGAACTGCACAAGCTAGTTGTGTATTTCACCCAGGTACTGCAAAAAGCGGTCTATGGCATAAGATCGCAAGGCTTTTCCTGGACACAACTCAAAATGGCACAATCATAAGTTACCTTTTGGAGAAAGTCGATGGCATAGATGGCCTTTGCAAATGGAATAAACCCCAAACCAGTGCCATCTATTTCTTAGCAAACCAACCGTAACTAACCTAAGAAGGACACTTCTGGGCACAATTGCAATAATAACTTCCAAAAGGAATGGTATCCCCAGGTAAGTGATCATCATGGATTAGATATCTCCTTTTTCCCTCCTCGAAAACCGCGGGATTCGCCAGAGGCAGCCCAACGCCTCTCCCTGAAAGTAGATGGCACAACAGACCCAGTGAGGTCTGATGAAACACTCTTCACTTGTGGGCAACGGAAAAGAGCGATCTGTCACCCTCCAAAACTGGCTCTGCTTTGGGCTCCAACCCAAAACATGCATGTTTGTGTCTGATCTATACTTAGTGAATCGAGAAATAAAAAGAGAGGGACCGAAAAGCAGATAGTTGATTTCACCCTCTGTTTGACCACTCTGTTCGAAGACAAAGTTGGTGGATGTTGCTCCGGTTGTTTCCATCTCCGCACTCCGTAGTACAGATCAAAGTATCCAATGCAACCCCTAGGTTGAGCTCAAAATCATTCCAGGTTCAGCTTGACTTTCCGCGACCTCCAATTGCATTTTTTTCACATGAACAGAGCACTCAAGTGTTGATTGTTCAGTTTAAAGGTACACACCCAAAACGGGGGGGGGGGAACAGAATTATGACTAAAGTCCAAATGCCCACATTCCACAAGACTCCGACATGGGATTACCTAGCCCTGAACCAACAAAATCGCTAGAGGACTCCCTAATCACCCTGGGCTGGAAAGGAAGCTCCATGGAACATGCTGCCAGAACATGTAGCAGTTGCACAAAAACAAAGGTTTTTGTTCCTTCTTGCAGTGACCAAAAAAAACGGAGGGTTCAAGGACCCAACTCGGAGCATGAAACAAAGCTCCCTCAAGGCGCAGAAGCGGGTTGCACTATCACTCTAAACCCAATAAATCCCTGGGTACAGGTCATGTCCCATGGGAATTGTATGTAGTTGCTAAGGGGGTTGATTCCGTGCCCATTCTTTGCAGCCTCCATGGTTTCCAAAACAAACCCTTTCCCGGGGAGATACAAGAATATCCCCCATAAAGCAAGTCAACCGACCGCAAGCCGTTTGGGCCGCCTAATCCACAGAATGAATCTGTTGCCCTTGTTGGGTATAAGGTTGGTATAACTCCAAGAGAAATCCATCAGCACGGTTCAGTGATAACCAAACAAATGCCTACCTGGATCCCCAGTTGCCAACTCATCTTCCAGCTACTCTTGCATCAAATTATGGGCTACTGGTGGGTAAAGTGGCTGGAAAAAAGTGGCTACTTGGGGATCTTTGAGGCCAGCCCTCCCTCATTGACCGAGAAACCCTCGTCGATTCTTTTGGTCACAAAACGAAAAACAGCTGTTGCTATTTAAAGTCCTATCATGGGAAGGTCTAAAAGTAGAAGGACTAACCAGGCTGAAGAAGAATCCCCTCCTTGCCATCGGAATCCCCGTCCCTAAGGGGGGGGGGGAGTGGGGGACCTCAAAAAATGCAATTTATTTCTTTTTTTGGGGGGGTAGCCCTTGAAATATTTCAATTGTGGACCCCAACCCCGAAGAAAAATGCAACCCTTTTCTGGGACGAGCGTTCGGTTTGGTGGCCGCTCAAAGCCCGCAAGCCGCAGATTCTTGGAAGCGTTGTGATTATTCTGGTGGTTTTCGAGCCATTTTGTTTTAGAGGCACCAGTTTTTGGAGGGACCCCAGGGCCAGAAATGTCCTCCCAGGCGCAAGCGGGAGAACCGTTTGGGTCGGGGTCCCCCCCCCCTTCGAACATGTTTATGTTGGGCCCCTCCGTGTTTCACAACCCCCCCCCTCAAAAGTGCAACAAAAAATGAAATTTCACTGGGGTACTCCCCCCCTCAAATTACAATTGTTAGGGGGGGAGATTGCCATCGGTGTCCTTTTTGGAAAACAACTGGTCCTGGTAGATTCTGAAACAACCGGGTCGCCCAGGAATCGCTATCCATCTTCTTTCAAACAGCCAAACATTGGACACCTAGGCTTTGTCCCCTGGATCCCCGGTTGCCCTTATTTTCCAGCTACTCTTGCCAAATTATGGGCTGCTAGTGGGTAAAGTGGCTGGAAAAAAGTGGCTACTTAGGGATCCAGGAAGGCTTTGACTCGTGCGGATCGATGTTTCTCCTTGCCCTTCTTGAGGTCGCAGAGCTGCAACAAGTCTCGGATCACCGCCACCACGAAGCGCTTCTCTTCCGACTCCTCGAGTCACCCGAAACCCGTTACCTGTGGCCTTGCTGCAAGCCCTGGTTTCCAGGTACGTGAGTTGAGGTACGTGAGTTGGGGTGTTGCTTTGGAGTTGGAGCGGATTGCGGATTTGGGGCTTGGGGGCTTGGAGTGGAAGGCCGAAGAGCGGGGGCTTCAAAGGGCTGATCGGTGTCCTGTGGCTCAGTTCCACTGGATTGGCCCCAAGACAGTAAGCCAACTCTTTATACTATACCTGGATCCCCAGTTGCCCTTATCTTCCAGCTACTTTTGCCAAATTATGGGCTACTAGTGGGTAAAGTGGCTGGGAAAAAAGTGAGTAGATCCAAGTAACAAGTACCACTAACTAGTTGTCGTCCAAGCCCAAAAAAATGACTAAAGTCCAAAACAGGACTCAGGGAGTGAGGTGGTCGCTTTGGCTCCCGGGAAAACAACACATGACGAGGTGTTTCTCAAAATGGGAGCCTCGGAGGTTCTGTTGGCTGGTGTTTTCAGATGTTCAACGCGAAGCCAAAAGGAAACTAGGCATTTTTGGGTTTCCTATATTTGGTGGTTGTTCGACATTCCTTTGTCTTGAAACGGCCATTCTTCGCGAAAACAACAATTACTTTCGCGAATCTTTCGCAGATTCATCGCTGTGCACTTTTAACTGCAAAAGTCAGATAGTCCCAACTTTTCAGCACACGTGCAGCACGCAAAATGCGCTTCCGCAGCTCCAGCTGGAGAGTCATAACTTTTCGGCACAAGGGTAGTACAACGAAATGCGTTTCCGCAACTTTTCAGCTTTCATACCTCACTGATTTACAAGATACAGCTACGCAACACATCCGCGAAACCAAACAAAATCATACTTTCGAAACTCCATCGCGAATCTTTCGCGAAGGCATCTCAACCGACACCGATGGTCGCTGACTACAAAACTTGTTTGGACCTTTAGAACGACTCTCAGGATCCAGGGCTTGATGTGAAGGACTCGTGAAAAGGGATCAGTGGAACCCTAAGGTGTGAGAAACACTCAAGTAGCATATGCATCCAATAGGTACAAAACCGCACACATTTGAAGACTCCCAGGAATTGGGGCTGTACTCGCTATATCTTGGTGGCTATTACCCCGAACGAAGCTTAGCGTTTTGTGAATGGAAAACACAGAGACACACACACAGACATACACACAGAGACACACACACACACAAAGAGACAGAGATACACACGCAAACACACCCACACAAACACACACATGTTCCGCAGAGCAAGAGGTTGAAGATCCAAAACAATATAAGAGCCAAGCTCGTTCTTCCGTTCTTTTTGGGCATTCGGCGCCCTTTTTGGGGGTTCAGGGAATTTAGACGAGAAAAAAACCGGGGGTGTTTCGGCTGCCCGGGTTCTTCCCGGTTTCCCCCCGGCACCTGCATGGCGCCGCTGATGGAGCCGATGGCCCAGCAGAGGCGGTTCAGCAGGGTGGGGCACCACTTCTCCAGGGTCTTGCTGCCCAAACCTACGGCGTTCAGAAAAAAACTCCGAGGTCCCACCCCACGCGCAGCCCAAAAAACGCCCCAAGCCCCCAAAAAGCCCCAAATCCCCCAAAGCCTCCAAAAGCACCAAACGCCCCAAGGCCAAAAGATCTAAGATGGTTTTTTCGCTACTCCCAAACCGCCTTTCAGGGGCTTGAATGGCATACACCCCAACAACAACAAAAAACGGGTCAGGAACAAAACCAGGTTTTTGGACCAGAATAACGTTTCTTTGAACAAGTTTTCTTCAAAGTTACCTATGCTTTCAAGAACAAGTTGTTTCTTTAACGGCCCTTGAAACAACTTTGGACACAGTTTTTCTTGGCATCCCCAGAACCTGTCCGGAACCCCTAAACCCAAGGCCCCAAGCAACCCCCAAGCAACCCCCCGACTCAGATGCTCTCAAAAAGGCTCGTGGTTCAAACCAATTTTTCAGCAAGCATACACCAGCATGAACCACAAATAGCAACAGCGTGCTAAAATAAATGTCTATCACGCCCACCCGTCTGCACTTGAAGCTAAAACTTCCTCATAGCTTACAGCTGGGGAGAAACGTTGGCGCCTCGGCAAACCTCTCACTTGCAAACGACTTGGGAAAAGGTTGTGTGAGGTGAGCCTTAACTACGTGTCACATTGACCTTGCTGCATATGGAAACAAACAAGACCCTTGACTCACCCTTGACTATACATGTGTTGACCATTTGTAACCTTCACTACATGTGGACATCAGCTTGGGCAAGGGGACTGTCCCCGAAGGCCTCATCTTCGTCTAGATGGTTTCCACTGCCAACACTTGTCAAGACTACACTTATATCTCCCTTTGTCTCGAATTTGATAGTGTCCAGGGACGCCCGCCCACAATCATGAAAAGGAAACAGGTTTCCTGCCAGGCTTATGTCCAAATGGGGGTCACCCGAAAAAGTAGGCTGTGTTTTCTTTGTCAGCGCTGTCAAAAAAGCAACTCGAAAAGGGTACCAACTCAAAACTCACACACAAGCGCGCATCACACACACACACATGTTGCATGCTCTTTTGCTTTCCTATGCAAGGGTTGAGTTTCTACGGTCCATGAGATTGGCGTTTCGAGAAGCATTCGTGGGCCACCCGCTGCAGCACGATGTTCTCCATGTGTTGGGGGTCCAGATGGGTCAAGTAGATCAAGGCCTCCCGCATCATCCTCAGATTCGGCTGGTTCCTTTGGGGGGTTGATCAATATTCCATATCGCTATGAATTTTCATGGGGAACCCCGCCCAAATGGGTTGTGGCCACCTAAATGATGTCCGGATGGCGCCTGATTAAAATTCCCACCCATATAGGTGCCCCAAATGACCATCCCACCTAACATGGAACCTGACAGGGGGGTCCTGGAAGACCGTTGGGCCTTTTAAAGGGACCCCCGAACGTCAGGTTTCACGTGAGTTGGTGGGAGGGTAACTTTTGCCATGTGGGAACTGTGGTTTCCCGAATTGTCATCCCACGTGGAGGACCTTTTGATCAACCCTCATGTGCACAGTCCAAACTCGGCCTCCATCAATGAACTTGGTTGCTGCAACGACAGCTGGATTCAAAACGTGAATAACTTGTTGCATGTCCAATTCGGAAAAATCCGACCTGTTTCAACCAACTAGATAAAGTCCAAATAGCCGCAAAGTTGTGGACATGGGGTAAATCAGAGAGTCTCGTTCATTTTTGTTTGTGAGTGTGGAAAGTCCCCACGCCCCTCCACATATCCAACTGGAAATTTTGACCGAACATTGCAATGACGCGGAAAGGTTGCTGTTGGCCGCCTTTCATCCAGTTGCCACCAAATGGTTTTGTTGGACATGTTGTTCCTGGTCGACTTTGAAGAGAACCTCTCCGGCTAATCCAGAATCATTACATACTTCCTTGTCGGTTGCCAAAAGAAGAACATCAGCCAACGACCTCGAAGCAAAGGCCGGTGTTTCCTTGCGGCTTGCCTTGAAAGCCCACGTTTCCACACCAAACAGTCACGGTAGGTGTCATATCCTTTTGGGTGGGGTGGGGTGGGGTGGGGTGGGGTGGAGTGGGTCAACAACTAGCTGTGACACGTTCACCACGCATGTCCACAACGAACACGGGACTGTGGCGCCAGAATGATTTCGTCCGAGAAACTTTAAGATCACCAAAGCCGGACAACTGTAGAGGGCCAACGAACATCACGCTCGAGCGATGGCTTGCAATCCAAGCGAGACACCTCAAAACCACCACCTCTGAAACACATATCATAGTGCGGCGAGGCAGACCTGCCTCCCTAACCACCGCGCCTGTGGAACAAAACCACACGCGTCGCAAAGACTACAATTCGCGCCACAGCCATGGGCCATTTCGCACCCATCTGGGTGAATTATAATACCTCACCAACCTGAAATAAGGTGGTTGGGGGGCTAGGGGGCTATTCCCCACAAAAACCACCATTTGGGGTGAGCTCGTGTGAGGTCGTTATAATTCACCTAGACCCATAAGGGAACCAAGGCTCTTGTAGAGGGCCAGCTCGTCCGTGTCCTCCTCCTCCACCCGGACAATGTGCCCCTCTTCGTTCTCCTTGATGGTCACCTCGGGGGGGGGGTGGAGAGCCCTACCGAGCCTTAGGGTTAGGGCTCCGTATTGTTGGAAAACCAAAACCAAAACCAATCCAAATCGAACTCGGTTGGAAGGGGAGCAAACAATTAAGTGTTAGCAGTTCAGTGGTTGGATTTCAACCACTAAACCACAAGAAGCGAAAAAATGTAACATGTTTCCCAACAACAATCCAAAGCAAATGGCTTCTCACGAGGTGTCCTTGTCCAAACTGCTCCAGCCGCCTGGTTTTGGAATATGGCCACGGGTCAAAATCCCGTACCCCCAGTGAACATCCGATTCAATCCAACCACGAAAATAAGTGCCCGAAAATGGGTGGTGAATTCACCAAGCCCAACCAAAAATGGGATTTCCTTTAACGGCTTTGACCACCACGGCCGTATCGTTCGCCGGCCCAGCCCTCAGCAAGGGGCCTCTGGAGGCTTCACCATCTTGGAGATCAGCACCTGCCGGACCTCAGGGCTCGAGCTCCGGTTTTTCGACCTGCTGTGGATGGGAAGGCGGATTTCCATTTGGCGGAATCCACCTAAGAAACAGTGGAAATGAAAGCATAACGTTTAACTTTGTTGAAAAAAAACAACACAATATGGGTAATGAGTCAACACCGTTTTGGAATCCCATTTTGGTTGGTAGGTGAATTCACCACCCGTTTTAGGGCCCCTATTTTAGTGGTTGGATTGAATCGGATGTTCACCGGGGGTATGTTGTTTTGACCCATGGCCATATCAGAGCTCTGGTCGAAATGCTGCGGATGGTTGCGGAATCCATTTCGCACCACCTAAGAAACCATGGTTGAAACCATAACGTTTGTTGGTGTTCACGTTGGGGAATCGAATCAGATTTTGGAGGTGGTCCCATTTCGATTGAGACGTTCATTTGCTGTTCCTGTCGGCCGGGCACTCGGTTTTTATGTGAACTCTCAACCGGCGGCTGGGTACCGTGAGCCCGCAGCCAACTCTGACACAGTGACACAGTGACACAGTGCATCGATTCCAGCAAGTGCAAAATTGCCGGAGTTCGGGCTCTCACTGGGCGGTGTTGTTGCCTTGAGAAATGATTGTTGCGCGCAGCTAGCGGGCACAGCCCTCAGACAGCATCAGAAGGAGAGAGAAGGGGGGGAGACAGAGGGTCTCATTTGGTTGGTGCTTGGAGGCAAGCCAATAGGAAATACACCATTTTTTGGTGGTCCGCCAGGGTGTGTCTCCAAATAAGGACGCCGCAACATGTCAGGTTTCCCGTTGCATTCCCTTTTAAACCCCAC